GGTACATTATGCCACCAAAAAACAAAAACGACTGGATCACTGTTATAAAGCTTATGGTGAAAATCAGTTAAAATTGACCGTAAGCTTGCACTATTTATTTCCGTTTCCCCTCGGTATCCGACGCTGTATCCTTTACTAAAAGCAAATTCGACTTCAGGATACATATGGGGCGTGCCGTCTGGAATCCTAAGTTTGAAGCGCACGCTATGGCGGCCACCACGCATGTGTCTCACTCTATCCTTGTTGCGAACGCTTTGTTTGCTGCAGAGTGGTTCGTTATTTCCCCTTTGCGGGAGCCTTAATCCCACCCCGCGCCTGCCTCCCCTCTCTTGTTCAGCCGGCACGCACCTCTCACCGGCCGTGCTGCGGTCTGACTGGCGGCGAGAGGAGCGGGGCGGAGCAGGTAGAGGGGGGGGGGGAATGATCTAAAACCACTGCATGCAAGCAAAGCAGGCTCAGCTAGTGGTTACAGCCCTCCCTGCCTCCGGCTCCACCCCACATCATATTTCGGCGGGATTCCTTTCGCGTGTTTATAAAGCGCTCGGCTCGGCAGGCCCCGGGGCCCGACCCGGCCAGGCCAGTAGCGGTGGTGGTGCGGCGGCGCTCTCTCGGGGTGTCGGCAATGACACCTCTGGCCTCCACGCTTTCTATTTCTCCCTCCTTTCTCTTATTTCTCTCTGATTCTACCTTTTTTTGGATGGAAAGAGAATGGTGCCAGGATGTTTACGCGCGTTTCTGTGAGTGGGAGAGCGAACGAGAGAGATAAACATCAAGAGTAAGAAAGGTAAAAAATAAAATAGAAAGAGGCGAGGAGAAGGGTGTATCCGTATTGCGTGTCGCGACTAGGGCTTGACATGGGAAACAGAGATTGCGCCGAAGAATGCGTCTTCCTGTCGCCTATACCCGCTCTGCCTCGCGCGTGCTGGGGTGCTGACTACACTATATAGGACTGCCGCGATACTGCAGGAGCATTTTCACCTCGCCGTTTTTGTGCTTGCGTTTCTTGGTCATTCACCAAGTTTTTCCACGATTGTGTAGGTTTCCCTTTCCTTTGTGAGCCCCGGCCGGCACCTTCCAGTCCCTTGCACCACGCGCGCGCGCGACGGGTTTGCCTGCCCAGCACGGCGCTCTCCAGCGGGCGGCGTGATGGAGCTCAAGTGCGGCTCCTGCCGGACTCGGGTCGACTCGGGTTCTTTTCTGTTTGCCCTTCCGAAACACTCTGTTCCTGTATATAGAGTATACAAATCTTCAAGGAAAGCAACTCTGCTGAAATTCTCCATGCCAAAAAGAAAAAGAGAAAACTGGCCAGGGAGACAATCAGCTTCTGTAAGTTTGCAATACATAAAATTATTAAAAGTAACTGTGTCCGACTGTGAAAAATAGTTCTATAGGTGTGGGGTTACGGGAGAATTTTCTATGAGACTTGTCGTAAAATTACAACTAAAAAAATGTCAAATTAGAAGCAGTACGTCTCGATCTGAATTCATCGATCAGCAGGAATAGGGCGTCGTAAATGTACAACATATTCTTTAAATATTAATTACACATTTATTTTGTAAATTCACCGAGAGTTTTCACTGTAATTTCAAGGGCCTTATTGTTTTGTTTCAGGTGGCGGGCATGCGGCGCTGTCGCCGGCGCTGGGCACCGCGGCGGTCCCGGGGCGCCGGCCCCATGTGAGGGATGGCCGCAGGGCCCTCGGGTGGCCCTGGTGCTCGCCCTGGGGCTGCTCGTGCGCTGTAGGGCTGCAGCACCCGCGGCCGCCGCCCGGCCATGGGGAACCACCAGTCGGGCCGGGTGCAGCGCAGCTTCAGCGAGGGGGAGGAAGGTGGGTGTCTTTGGTTTTTGTCCTTCTTTTTTGTAACAATGCCACGCTCCGGACGGCGATCGTCTTCTTGTTCGCGGGGTAACAAAAGCCCCCGCCACGCCGGCTGGCAAAAAACCAACAGCGAGTCGCACGCACGGCGTGTTACAATAGACACAATTAGTAGCCATTGTAGCGGCTCCGGGGAGGAAGGGAGTGGCCGGCCACCACGGACTCTGCATCCGGCTTACCGGATCCAATCCCAAAGCGTTAAGTGGAGCAATAGCGTTTTTCTTTTTGTGTTTTTTGTTTGTTTTCTTGCTTTTTTTTTTCTTGCTGCTTTTTGATGCTTCTCCAGCCGAGGAAGTAGATGATCTACTTGGAGGAGAGGCAAGATTGCCCCGGGCTGCTGGGCTGGCGAGCAGCGGGGGGCGTGGGAAGGGGGGGGGGCGTCGCGCCCGAGGATTTTAATTACATCTGAGGTTTCGTTATAAAGAGAGGTCTGAAGAAGGATGAAGAGGGACGGCAAGGGGTAGGAAAGGTATCACTCTGCGTGACAGAGTAGGGCTTCGGAATCCAGCAGTCAACGGAAGTGTGTGTGAGAGGGAGTGGGAGAGGAAAAGCTGTCGCTCCTTTCTTTATCACACGTATTCAAGCCTCGCGCGCTTTGTCCGCCCAGTACCGAGGCGAGGCTGGGTCTGCCTTGCTCGCTGGCCGCTTGACGGCCCCGCCACACGCTGGGGACGAACACAGCGTTACTTTCAATTACTCTCGTATTTTATTTTTATTTTTAACCCTTTTTTGTGCTTTCTGTTTTTCCATTTTCTTTGCGTAATTGCGTTCAGGTGAGATTAATGGAATGAGAGAGAAGGGCTGCCTTTCTCTTACTGCGCCCCGGGGAGGGCGGAGGGTATTAATGGAGCGGTTTGTGAAAAATGCAGACTTAATTAGAGACAAGGGAACACCACAGACCGGCGCCGTGTCACCGTTTTTATTATTCGTTTGCTATTAGTCTGTACCACCCAATTGCGTTATTGTAATACAGCCTTGCTCGCCTCGACGGCTGCGCGACAGCCTTCTAAAACGTTTTTTTAATTAATCGCGATTACAACACGAAAATGTGATTGCCTGATCCTATACTCATGTACTACAAAAGCGCTAAAAAGCATAAATAACGCAAAAAAACAACAACATCTAAAACTAGTACTACCAGAAATAATTACAATCTGAGTTTCCGGGAAAAAGAGAGAGGAAGAAGAGAGCAAGTCGTTGCGTCTGCGGCACATCGCGGCACAAAAGAAGGGCGTTGTAAAGGGTGCGGGTGGTGTCGGGGGTGTCGGGAAGGGAGATGAATGACGGAGGCGAGGGGCGAGGCCTTGTCCAGTGGGTGCTGCGCGGCCCGCGGCGGCCAGCGTGTACAGCAGCGGTGCACGAGCGGCAGGGGCAGAATTTATTCTCCAGTGAATAACTTCTATATGCCCCCCTACCCCCCCCCCCCCCCCGCCTCCCTAACCCCTTGCGGCACATTTCCCCATCCCTTTCATTTTATTCGCACGGACGATGTGTTTCGCGGTTCCACGAACACACAGAGAGGCGGACCCCCTTTTCGACAGAGCACTGTGAACAGTTTTTGTAATGATAACGGAAACAAGTTATTGTGAATGTCATTACCATGGACAACATATTGGCCTGGCCTGGGTGGTCTCTGCACGGAGTACAAATGCAGCTTTCTATTCTAAACAGCTCTGTGCAAGACTTCCAAGAAAAATCAACGTTCCCTGTCAAGAGTGGGGTTTATTTAAGACAAAATTGAGACCTTTTGTATTAATTTTGAACCTTGCCGTATTTTAGCCTCAAAATGTTGAAATTGTTGTAAGTAGTTGGAGAGACATACCCACTATGAAACCTGAAAGTCGGGGCTTTCTATTAGTTTTGATTGTCAGCCAACAATTTGCATTTTACATCATCAGAAATAACATTTTTTCATTGTATACTGTGATGATCGGTGATGATAAGGGAAGAACTCAACGGCCAGGGGAATGTCCAACTATTTCTTTAATAATACTTAAAATACTATTTAAAAATGTCACTTTACTTTTTCGTTGTTCCCTGGACCCTGTTAGGTATGTCAGATTGCTATCACTGATAGGGACAACAGTTTTAACTTTCAAAAAATTGTCTTCAGAAGTTGTCCCCTTCCCAGATTTTCACCCTTGACACCTCGCGAAACTTGTGTTTTTCGCCTTATATTGGTATTGGTCCACAACAGAAACTGCTTGGTATATTACTTTGTACAAGAAAAGTGTGTTTATAATTCTGTTAGCAACATATTTCGTTGAAAAACAACACACTCGTACTTATACAATTTTTTTCCAGGAGCAGAACAAAAGTGACTATTTTCGGTCAAATTTTGTTTCCGAGATTTTTACCAATATTGTTTTTTATGTGTTGCTGACAAATTTAACTTCCGTTGTTAATTTACGACATTTTTTGAACAGTGGAGATGGGAAGGGCGTGGCGTGGTACCGTGGTGATGAGCAGGGGTGACAAAAAGTCACCGAATCGCACCGAATAGAAGTGGAGGAAGGGGTCGTCTGAAGGAAAAGTTATTTTCTGTCGTTTTCTGGGTGCTAGGGAAGCGACTGGTTTGGCGGACCCAGAGCGGGTGATGAGAGTAGGGTTGGGGGG